TGCGTCTTCACTGTTTAATGTGCATTCTCGGATGCAGAGTACTTTAATGATGAGTACATATTTTATGGAGAACGGAGGCGGCGCGCGTGAGCACAAGTAAAGAGAGGTTTAAGTTCAAGTATGTGTCTATAAAATGTAAACAGTTATGCATAGTGCATACATATATTTATAGGTAAATAGTAGGTATAGTATTATGCGTATAATGGAGATACCAAGGGAATATAACAATTATAACAATAATATGCGGATAAAAAAAGACAATTATGTAGTACCTAAAAAAAATTATATAAAATAAAAATAATACATAATATTATGTACACATGAAATATTTGAGCGGTAGTCGAAGAAGGAACTTGTTAATAAGCCTTCGGGCCCAAATTATTACACACACACGGGTATATTACTATACGAATCTCTTATGTCAGATGTGTCCCCATTGTTATAATATTATAGAGGGATATAAACACATACGCGTGCGCGTTGGTTGCCTGCCGTCGCTGCCACGGTCGCAACAAAAGGTATCCCCGGCCCAAACCATTGTTAGACGGGAGAGATGGGATTCTTGTACCGCAAAAGAGAAGAGACCTTCTTACACCAAACTCACACTCACATACAGACATACACCGTTGTGTTTATAATAATAACCATCATAATAATAACGTGTTGTAAATAATACAATTCATACCTATATATATATATATAATATAATAATAAACACAAGGTACCGGGTACATGAGTGTTTTTATATAATATATATATATAGATACTAGATAGTACATTATAGTACGGTACATTGCCACCGCGGTGAAGAGTCAAGTGTGAATTTCGAAGATTTGCCGCCGCAGCTCAAGTGGATATTTTGGGTCTCGTGCGAAGGCTGACAATAATATATAATAGTATAGAACTATTAACAAAATATAGTACAGAAATAGTTTTTTTTTTTACCGAATGTGATAAACGAAGACCACGTTAGCTATAAAATATTATATACGTATGAAAAAACCATCAGGTATTTTGTTTTTATAAGTATAAGTATAAGACCGTTTTAAGAACGAGATAAGTAAGAAGAGATACATAGACACATGATTTTTTTTTCTTGAATTAATATCAACAAAACAAGAATTTAGTCTATAATGATATGTTAGACAATAGAAAACACACTATTAGCGAATGTTCAACCGTGAATGAAACCCGGCATGTTCTCTCAGCGAACAGGGTATATAACGGTGGTTGATCACTGTAGTCTGCATTTAAAACTATTAGTAACGGTGAAATATTAGTGTTATGAACAAAATTAGATTAATATGGTTTAAGGCATAACTATGGCTCATAATACTTTTTGGAATATATTATTCCAAGATAGATTTAATAAGCCTATTTTATACTTACTTATACCTTTTATGAGTGGGGTTCGCCAGTTAGGTAGATATTATAAGTTATAATTTCGGTTATTTTGCTGTTGAAGTATATTTGTCTTTATTGACAAACATTTCCGAGAGCAACACACTCGGATCTCGTATATAATAGTGTTACTAGTTGTTTTCATACAACATTTTAATATTTTTAAAGGATTTACGCAACGTATCTAGCTATTAAATATCAAAGTATTTATTTCACATGGTTCAGACTTCAACTTTATTTCTAAGTGTACGATACTGATGCTACGAAAATGACGCTCAAAATTGTATTAATAAAAACATATATTTCATTATTATTATAAAACCAACAACGGTCTAAACAAATGCAAAATAAACGATATCCCATGGGCGTTACCGGCTACCGCGTGCTCTATAAGTCTTTAAACATTTTTGTTCGCTGGCAATAAATAACGACCGTTTGTATCCCTTTCAATAATATTATTATCGACTTCTTGTGTCGCCGTGCAGTGAATTCGTATGGTAATGTATCAAACGGTCTATCGAACAATGAGCGCCGGTAACCAAAGGAATTATATTATTGACACTATCATTATCCGTATCTAATTTTAAACACATTTTATCAACGGAAGCGATGATTTTTTTCCCGAGGTAACTTGTCATTGTGGAATATGCAAATCGCCGTGTACACACCTTTTGGCTGTGTAATAATATGTCCCTTCACACAACACAGCTGATATCTCCGGGTAAAAGGGTTGACGAATACAACCCGAGAACCGGTTGCGTTTATATACATGCGTATACTTTACACAATACGCGAACGCTGTAGTTTCATGTACATAAATAGTGACGTCGTAGGAACTGAAATAACGTTTGGACGTACAAAATATTTTTTATTTGACTTCAATCCTCAAACGGACAATGAACAAAAATTGTACTTAAACGTAAAAACGAATAATACTAAATATTACATACAAAAACTAAATAAATCTACATCTATTTAGTCAAACCCCTACTTAGCAAATTTTGCAATAAACAAAACGTTTTGAAGTATAAGCAAAGATCATTGACAAATATTTTTCTAATATTGTTTGAATTATAAATAGGTGTTGAAATCTATATAAATCCAATGAAATAAGTACAGAAATATGTTTATAATTACTGTTTTCAGCGAACATTGTTAAGCTTTAACCCAATAATGTTAACCATTCAGTATCTAGTGGCTCAACATTTAATAATTTGTATACTGCATATATTAAATTAGTTTTTCTTGTTTTCAGTTTCCTATATTGTTCAAATGTAAATTATAATATTTAAGTTTACTACAATGAGAGATTTTGTAGTTTCTAAATTCTGTACGTACAAACGTGAGAAGGCAATGATTTTATAATAACGCTACTTTTCTTTGACTTATTTTTGAACAATTATAGCGCAAGATCATGGGCTAATAATATGAGCTTATGAGTTATGAGTTACAACTGCGGTGTGTACGGTGTATGTCTAAAAAATCTTTTTTTTAGTTATTTATTTAATATATTAATCAAGGGTGAAGTACTTACTCTTTATATGCTCCATCTTTAATTAAGTTCCCAAACAAATTAACAGGTAAATAAATAAATTATACGTAAACATTAACATCAAGGATGGACTAGGCTAGGGAATAGGTGGATTAATGCCTACTGGGCCACTTCCGTTTTGGGTTGTGGTGTCACTTGTCTAAATATTATATATTCGTGTATCGTGCTCCTTTTCTTTGTTGTACATAGCAGCGATATTTTAAATTTCTTTGGCAGTCTTTCAACTTACTTACTAGGCGGAGGCCAGTCCAGTCGCTTCCAATTAACATACAAAATAAAATATGATGCGTATTTGTCTGAAAGCACAAACAAACGAAAAACAATATGATGTTCATCAGTTTAGTGAAAACTCACTAAAACAAAACAAACTAATAATAATGGGTCGGCCACCGATTTGCCCTATAGGCTATATATAAAAATAAAATTACACAGTTAACCGTTTGAACTTTAATTGGTATGTTGAAGGTGATTACTTTTTTTTTAGTTTGGCTATTTTCCTGTAGTAATAATTGTATTTTTTTTTTGTTATTAGTCATTCTGAAACGGAAGTTGAGCGCCTTCTCGTTTTTCAGACCTATATTTTACACACCTGATGCATCACTCGTTATGTTTCTGGAACTGTTGTCGCGCACATGATGCTATTTAATTTATATTTTCTTAACGATCCATTTTATTATATCGTGGTTATTTGGTCGTGTCGACGGCTCAGCGGACTGCAAGTCATAATCATATGACCGAGTACCAAAATTAAAATTCAATTACCGCAAGGTGATAACGGCGGTTTAATTTGCTATTGTCGACCAAACACTGTGCACGGAAAATAACGCCTCGAACAAACCCGTGGCGCCTAATTGAAAAGTACACGTCATTAGCTGCTGTGGCAGTATACAGCTGAGAGTGTTAACCCTGAACAGCTCAAACGGGTTGGTCGAAAAAACAAGTGAATTCAAAAGAACAAACGAGCCTTTGGGAGAAAAAAACACAAAGTATGCGTATTCGGCCAAAAGGAAAAATATAATTGTTTTATTTTGATTATTACGGCATAGTACTTGCGTTTCCCCTAAGAAACTCTCTCGAGCGTCTGCCGCTGACGGCGATTGTCTACTCGTGTTTTGTATTCACTATAATTTTTAAAGTCGTCGGCAACGAGTGAGAAATAAAAATACTTGTCTGGGTGTTTGTTTTGTTTTTCTGTGACAACTGAGAACCGAATAAATCCAAAATATAGACCAGACGTTCGTTATTTCTTATGCAACACTTACTTCACCACTTTGCCTCTTTGTGCTTACTAACAAGAGGTGTCGTTACGGCCATTCGATTGTGTTGTTTTCAATTTTATTCAATCAATTCGTTTTTTGTTGAACTTATAACATGACGTTATTACTTTTTATAGTATACTATACATACGACATATATGTTATTTTAACTTAGTTGTAGTTATAGTATTATAATTTTTTATTGTAAGTTACACACATAAACTCTTTTTTCTTGTAAATCTTTTGGAAAATATGATTAAAACATATTAATAGGCGATTTTTATATTATTAAAATTCAGGGGAGGGTCCAAAAATTCATCACGGGAGAGAGAGCGCGCAGAATTGCATTTATGACTAGGCTATGTCAGCTGTAGCCTTAGGGCTCTAGAGACGTATAAAATTCAAATTCGGTCAAACAAAATTCCTACCTACTTATTTGATTTGTATTTTATACATTAAGGGAAACAATTTTGTATGTTTTTCAGGCGAGGAATTGTCATTCATAAATCAACAGCCATATTTATGAATCAAAAATGTACTAAATTGTTTCCGTCAATGCATAAAATACAATTGAAATTATAAAACTAAATTGTCATATTTTGGCCTCGGAACATTTAACAAATTCACTTAAAAAATGAGATTGACCCTTTCAGAAAGAAATTGAAGTAAGGAATAAATAATAATGGTATTATTTTGTATACAAGATAAGTTTTAAGACCCAAGTGTCGATGACAGCTTAGGAATTAAAAGCGTTCACTATAATAATATTATATAATAATGGTCAACAGAAGATTATAGTATTAGATTATATTATGATTATTGATTTATGCACATTTTTTTACACTATATAATGTTTCATTTGGACTTTAAATAATGAACCGCACAATAGTTTGTTATTGAATATTGACAGCAAGTAGTCACATTATGCCACATTTTGAGGGTCCTACATTTACATAATATTTATATAATTTCGAAGCGTGTGAAATTATTAATAGCATGCATTCTCTAAATAATTTTCGTTACCTACATTTTTCCAAGTTACAGTGTGATGTTAATAGACGGAATACAATTAAGATTAACATAATAATAATAATCATATTATAACTGTTTCATGTTTTTCACAACGAGTCGGTCTGACGTGTAAGTATGTATGTATGTTATCTTTTTATGCCATCGGCTTCCAAATACGGTCCGTCCATTGCAGCAAGTCGGCGGCACTCGTTGCAACGGTCGTCGGTAGCACTTGAGGTCGCGGCCCCGTTTCACCGCTGCTGTCGTTTGGCGACTGCATTCGGATTGCTGTACTTATATGCACTAGAATGTACGATCGTATGCACACACACACACGCACTTACCTAGTTCGTGATCGCTGTCGTGTAGCCAATTACACTGTATGTACACGTTATGTGGGTTATTACGGGCCGCCTACAGTGACGCTAACAATAGAGCAAGTTTTTTTTTGTTCTTTGGCGGCTTTCGCAGTGGCAAGTAGAAAAAAAACAACACTAGACGGTCGGTTTGGACACGTCTCGTGCCAGGAGTTAAATTTTGGCGGTAATAGGATTTAAGAGGCATTTTGCGACGGTATCTACTATCTCTACCCATTTTGGGAAAGAAACCTTATGAGCCGAGATGGCACGTGCCGATGTCTTACACGGTTGCGTTCGACATACATAGTAATATGTATTATATTGTCATTGGATAACATCGTTTTTATTAGTTTGTCACTCGAAAATATCCAATTACCGATTACAATGCGCGTAAGTACATATATAACACATATACTATGTATATTATTATCATACTATTGTGTAAAACGCTCTCAAGGTCAGAAATCGTTTACACGACGACGACATTAATAATAATAATAAATATAGTCCACTGTGTCTAGGTAATATGTTTGTTGCTAGTTCTATGCATTATAGTATACCTACATCACACATGTTGTATATCGCGTATCAAGTATTGTATGCAAATAAAGAAATGTATTGTCGGTGCGGTGTCGGCGGCGCTAGTGTTATATATTTTATAATAATATGTAAGTATATAAAATGACGCTGCCTATAACGGCGTGACAATGCAAAGGTCCTCGGCGGTGGCGACCCAGTGAATGGATTCGGGAAAAATATGAAAATAAAAATGGATGGGCGCGACAACTGCGACGAGGATAATAATATGCAGAGGACGGGGACCATTATAATATTGTTGTTGTTTGTGCGCCCCCGGTCCGGTCGATAACACCGTCGCCAACCGAGTGGCAACATTGCCGAAGTTAAGTTTTTTTTCATAGTCCTAAAGAAACGGACCACGCTAGAAAAAACAAATTATTTTACGGATCCATTAAACAAGAAAGAAAAATATTTAAGAATACACAGATATACAGAATTATATATTTAACTAGTCCTCTCAGAAAATAAACACAATTTTTTACATTTTCTTTAAAAAAAAAAAAAACATTTTTGTTCATATTATAGCAAAACGTTATAAAATTACCAAATATTTACTTAATTTATACTCAATATTTAAAAACGTAATAAATAACATAACCAAAGGTTAGTTGATGGGATTTTTCGATATTTTCCATGTTTTAAATTTTATTTAAGTTAAAGAAAAAACAGAAAAATTATACTTAAATCAAAAACGTTAAGGCTATTCAAATTTTGTTTTAAATAACCTAAGGTAGTGTTATTATTTATTTAAATGTTTTAAATGTTGAAGTAATAGTATAGTATAGTAATATAATAAGTATCAAATTTGTTGTATATCGCTCAAATTTGTTTTGTGCGGCCTTCTTTTAATATAACTCCTTTTCTTAAAAATACCCAAGTATAATTCTATACATCTTGTTTTACAAGCCACTGACTCTGGATTTCGTAAGCTAAAACTAATAAAAACATTCTTGATAAAAATAGGATTTAAAAAAAAATGAGATTTGGATTGGAATGAGAGAATGTGAATAGAACCAACATTTAAAATATAATAATATGAGTAATAAGCTTTATCTGATTAGTAACAGAACTCTTAGCGAGTTCTAACGACTAGGTATAATAATATTATAATATTACTGGAGAATTTGATCACGTGAGATTTCCATAATAGAAGGTTTTAATTTATTTACATAACAGTTTTTTTCCTGTCCTTCGACGTTTATTCGGGTTTTATCGAGGAGCGTAGACTGATCGTTAAACTGTGTAATCGATGGAAATAAATTTCCAAGCTTAAAAGTAAAACGCATTAAATTATAATAATAAATAGTGTTTATCTCAGCCGCTGAATTAACAATACTGTATAAACAAGTTTATAAAAGCTGTTGTTAGTGATACAAGTGTTAACTGCGGCTTTCTATTTGTCTGGTATTTGTTTTTATATGTAATGTCATAATTAATTAGCTAATATAACTGGTCTCACAATTTAAAACAAAGTTAATTAACAAAAATAACATTCAATTAAATTTATTAATACACAGCATTTTGGATATTTTGTATTATATTGTAAGTTATTTAAAAATATCTGTTCATGCTACCGGAGACTTTTCTTTAAAGCTTTAAAATCAAAGTAAATACAAAATACTTCGTCTTCTGCCTTTCCGATAGTCTCATTAAACCATCTGTTGGCAATATTGTGTTTTTACATTCTATTTTAATGAGCCTACAACACATATTATTACAATATATTATATTGTACTTAACGTTTCTTTTTATTTTACACCGCGTAACGATAGACATAATACTAACATCAAATACCTATGTACAAATAATATAATGGGAGCTAAGAAGTAATACTTTTGAGAAGTAGCCGCCCTAGGACCTCACAACACGTGTCTTTACAATAAATATATAACAAATCGCGTGCGTGGACGATTAGTCGATATTCATATTATCATTATTAAAATGCTTGGCTTGACCGTGTACATACGACGCACAGGCACTATGCACGTACATTACAATTTTATTTACCAGTGTATGAATAATATTATTATACAGCTTTAAATTCTTTGACCATCCCCCCCCCCCTATAGACCGACGCCGCGACTATAGGTAAAATATTATTATAGTCAACAAATCCGGTTTTCGAAAATGTAAAAAACAACTATATAATAACAACAATAATAATAATATCGTTACGTTTATACACCTTTAATACATACATATATAATATTATACTGTAAGAAACACGACGGATGTATTCTATAAGTATAATAGTTATTACTTATACTCGCCGTCTTCGTTTCTCCCTATATAAAGGATCTAAAATTTAATACACGTGTTTGTGTGTATCTATCCGACCGTCCACCTCTCTCCGGTTCACTCTCTTCCACGCGCTTATAATGGTATAATATTATACGTTATAAAGTGCATTGGAAATAATTAAATGCTGCGACCGCGTCAGTGGGAAGCGGCTACGTGGGGGGGGGAAGGGGGAATTAAAAATGCGGGTTGGGCTCTCATCAGGTTCAACAAACTCCACGCGACGTTGGCCGGCTTCGGCGGTCGACCGGTTTTCGAAGAAATTCAAATCTCCGTACGACCAGGAAGAAGCAAGACGCGGCCGAGAAGGAGAGGAAAAAAGGACCGGTTCGTTGGAATTTTGACAGCTTTGACCCTCCGGGGGCCCCGAAACCGAACGATATTTATGTACCTTAATAACGAACATCCCAACACTAGGCGATCGGTGTATGTGGTTTTTTTTTCTATCTACACGCATCCGCCACGTTAAAGTCTTTCTCTCTCTCACTCGCTAGTTCTCTCACCGACGACGTCTTCGGCCCTATTTTAATCTCGTCCCGCCGTACGTTTATGTGCCTTTATGCGTACACGTTCTAGGTATTAGACGTGATAGGACTCGGTATAGGTAAAAAGAACCAGTTCTGTCGAAAGTTCTGAAAAAAATAAATAACCCAATAACCGCTGTTGTGACAGAAGCACGACGATAGGACTCGAAGCAAAGGAATAATGTTTAAAAATAGAGACTGTAAATGTTTAATTAAGGGGAACGGAAAGCGCGATTGATTAAGGAGCAAAGGATAGGCAATATTTGACATCTTGAAAATAAAATTAAAAAACCGGCCTTTTAGCCCCATAAAAAGATAAAAAAAATCTGTTCGGTGGACACTTCAGAAAGTAACTTCGCGTTTTAGTATTTCTTTGTAAAAATATGTACTCTTCTCGTTCCCCTTAAGCAACCCGGATCTTAGTTTACTTACATGAATGTTTTGTGAGTTCGCGACGAGTTATTATTTTAAATGAGTTAAGACTTTTTAAAAATTAAATTATAATGACACTAATAATAACGGTAATAATAAAATATCACAACGATATTGGATGTAATAAATAATTCGACAAAATTTGTTAAGATGATGTCAATAAAAATCAATTGAATTTATGAGCTATTTTGAAATGGGACAATCGTTTATTTTTTGTAAAGCACTTAAAAACGATAAAATTTAACGTTTTTAAACATTAATGTACTGTAAGGTAAGGTAATTTATTTTGAAGTTCCAAAAATGATAAAATACAGATTTTTTGATAACATTAATTTCGTTTAAACGGAAACTTTATATATATATATATATATATATATATATATATATATAGATTAAATTATTATGTATTGAATTTATTAGCATAACACGATGTTATAACCAAAGATGTTATTGATCAACGGCGACCGTTATAATACATTAATAGTAGTTTTTTATGCTGAATTTTTTGAAGTATGGACGACCGGTGGCGCATACAATAAACCCGCGCACAATGGGGCCTTTACAAAATCTTTTGTTTTAGGAAAGAAAGACAGAGTGAGATAGGGGGAAATACATGTGTGTGCGTTAATGTACCTACAAAAGGAATTATATAATAAAATATACAATATGCCCCTCGCCGGCGCGGGGTAGCCCGTTCGGTGCTGGTGTTAAGCGGTGTCGCGCTGTTGTATGTAGCGTTACCGGCGACCCTTGAACTCGTTTTGCATTCGGTAAAAACAATGCGACATGTCCGATATTATAAATGCCATTGTGCCGGCGTAATTATCTGATCATACGATTATATTATACTGCTAGCGTTACTGCACAGCTGTTAAGTAGCAAAAAAAAAAAAAGTAAAAGTAAAAAAAAAAAAAAGAGTTACACCGTATAAAAAATAATAGGCGTTTTAGATTTTATACACAACGCGTCTATGGGGGTAATACATCTAAAAAAACACCACCTATATGATCGCCTCAAAAAAAAAAAAAATTGAAAAAAAAACTATCGAAAATTAATTCGTTCCTGGCAAAAAAAAAAAACGATTGTCGGATTTTTTTAACGAAGTTTTATTCAAATGTGAACCAAAGGGTCACGCGTGTATGGGTCATATGTAAAAAGCAAAA